TCATGGCTGTGGGGCCCAAAGCAGCTGCCCCTTGAGCCCGCTGCCCGCAGAAACTTGCCGATCGGATCGCATAGTATAATACGTTATGGCAGCCGCATACGGCACTGCCATAACGTATTGTTGTCCTATGCGATGTGCATGATCGCATCCTAAAGGTGTAGCTCCTCCCCCGCCCGCGTAGCGCAGGGATCGGCAAGGTGTCCGTACCGCCGCGGTCGTACCGTAGAATCAGCACAGGAAAAAAAACATTGGATGGGGGGGTTGGGACGTGCCAACTGTTCCGTACGACCGCGGCGGACCCTGCAAGGACCAGTCACAAACACCTTGCCTGGCGGGGGGGCACACGGGGGGGCAAGTGAAAACCTAGGGGGGGCAATTGCCCCCCTGTAGCGATTCTGCTACGTCAGTGTACAACAGTTACATGCTGACTTTTGATGAACCTGGTAGCTGTGAAAAGCAGTTTAAGATCTTGATGAAATAAATGTTGAAGCAATTTGAAAAATATTGCTCTTGATGAATACACTTTTGCAATATTTTAATCCTGTTATGTAAAGGCAATTTTCATTTGGTGTACATGTAAAAATGGTATCTGTGGGTTTGCTCTGTACATTCCACTGACCTCACAGGACATCCTCTAAGCTTCCCGTTGTACATATTTGTTTTATTATCCCAGGGAACTTCACCGCCTTCCCTCTGACAAACTAATGTGCAAGAATTTCAGCCCATACATTGTTGGGCCACTTAAACCCTCATCAATTTGCCTGAGACTGACTTTACAATAGAACATCAAGATGATGACTACTAAGGAACCATCCAATCATTACAAACATACTTGGATAGGTTAAACATTTTCAGCAATACCAAGCTGTTTTGTTTATTTCCTGTGCTAAGTTTACCTTTTGCAACTGTCTCTACTACAATGTGCAGTTAACAGTTTTTTAGATTGGTAAGCCATTAAGTAAATAGGTGTTGGCAAAGCCAGAAAGCAGGACAACTCCAGAGTTTCTTTGAAACATCTTTTATTTTAGCAAATTTAAAGATAATATGTTAAAATAAAAAAAGTGTTTTGATGAATCCCTGCTGCTATAAAGATTGCAGACTCATGTTAAGCTGAGCAGTCTGGGTATTTCAATTACTGTACATGCTAAAATGGCTGGGATATTTGGGTGCCTTTTTATTTTAAAGCTGAACTCAGGGGAAACATTTCTACCCTCACTGTGGGTACCCTTCTTGAGCAAGGGTTAACTGCTCATTATACCTAGGGGATGATGAGTAGGGTGATATATATTACCTTGTTTTTTGCTTCTGTAGGCTTCCTCCTCTGTGTGATCCGTCCCCTGAAGCCTCTTCCCGTTGCTTTGTACAGGACGACACCAAGGGCACCCCCACGTTCTGGAGCACTGGACAGTGAAGGAGAGTGCTAGCATATCACCTAATTCATCATACCCTAGGCAAAATAAGCAGTTTACCCTCGCACTGGGGAAGGGGACTTCTGCAAGGGTAAGGGCCCATTCACACTAGACCATTCGCTGAAATGCCACATTTTAGCAGACAGGCTATTGAGTGTGTTGTATTGCACATGGCCAGAGCTGTCAATGTTTACTTTTTTTTTTTTTTTGAGGGGTGAGAAAAATGTTTTGTTTTTTTACCCTTTTGGTAATGTACAATGTGCAGACTCCATTCAGGTTTCCGCATGGCAGCTTGGTCCACCCCACTGCTGAGTGGTGACTTGTGGTGGAATCCATTACTCTGTGTGTGATAAAATGCAGCATTTTACCACAGTGCAGTGCCCCGCCCATCACACCCATGTTGTGGTGTGATTGGGACACATAGCAAAAAACTGTTTTCTATGTGTCATAGCGGTGACCTGCATTGTTTTGGTGCTGTCACTGCTCGATGTGTGAACTGGCCCTTAAGGTTTTTTTCATTCATAGTTCAGCCTTAGGCCTGGTTCACACCTGGGTGTTGCACAGCACGTAGAATACGTCAAAGTTTTAGTGAATCTTCGTTTTTATTTTTTGAAGGTCATTCAAAGTGGAATCAATCGCTTTCGGGGCCGCACAGGGTCCCCTTCATCAGGCTTAAAGTGAACATGTTCACTTTAGAACATGTTCACTTTTAGCCTGATGAAAGGGACCCTGAGCGGCCCCGAAAGCGCTTGATTCCACTTTGAGTGACTTCAAAAAATAAAAACGAAGATTCACTAAAACTTTGAAGTATTCTGTCATATTTGGAGTGCTGGTGACATCTCTACACAACGATTTTACTTGATACGGCGCCATCTGTAGTCATTGCGAGCACCCATTTTTTCATATGGGAAGTCCGGTGTGCTACAGGTCCTTGGACATTCACAGCGCGTAGAGATGCGCTGTAAAACCCTCAGCATGTGAAAACCAATAATTGCCTATGGGCATGGTTCCTACCTGGGTGTATTTCAGCGCGTAGGAACGTGCTGAAAAACGCCCTACGCCCAAAGAAGTACAGGAGCTTCTTTGGGGCGTATTTTCCGCGCGTTTCCATTAGGATACAGCCGGATAGCCCTCGTAAACGCGCGTTTGTCCCCCTTTTCTTTTACCGCAAATCGCGGTAAAAACGCGCGGCAAACGCGCATATTCCGTACGTCCTGGGTGTGAACCCAGCCTTAAACGCACTTATTTTAGAAGTTAATGTTCTGAAAAATAAAGTGCATCATGATGGATACAATTTGTCTTTTATGAGTCTTACATCTTAGTTAAGGAAAGGATTTGGGGTTGTATTTTAGGGAATATGTCCTTAACATTAAATGGCAGTAGGTTGTTGGGATATGACATTAAAAGATCTTGGTTGTGCATCAGGTTCAATCGTATGCATTGTGTGGGTGTGCATGAAATGTGAACTACTGATGTTATCTTATCTTTGACACTGCAAAGCAGTTATCAATCACCTAACATGTAGAAGTCAATGATTAAGGGTCTATTTATACCTGCCCGTTTTCATGCAACTCATGCATTCTATCTGCGTGGAAATGTACGTCAAACAAAAATAATTTTTTCTTAATTGGCTGGTTCACATCTCGGTGCTTTAGTTTAAGTGTGCTTTTGAAAGAGAGACTATATATGTCCAGTCATACTTACATGTGTTACTTACCACGCATGCTGTAATTCTGTGAATCCAGCCTATATGCTAACTCTAGCCAAGACTTTATTTTTGGCCACAGTAGAAACTGATTTAAACCCCTTTAAAGTTTGTTAATGCTGTCTTTGACCCTACTAGGTAGATTTCCCCTCACTTTCATTTTTTTTTTTTTTACCAGTTACAGGAATAGATTGGAATTATCTCCAATGTTTAGGACCACACTTTGCAAACATACCTTGATGTGGCAGTGTGGCTTCACACGTATTTATAAATGTGTTCAACCTCTGTTTTTTTACTTTGAAGTGAACCTGTGCCCAGATCATGCATACTTAAGTATGTACATATTCTGAAGAAGCAGTACAAGCACTTGAAAACCAGACCTCATTCATCTCTGTATATATAAGTATTATGTAGAAATTAAAAGCTAAACTCCAGGCACCAAAACTTAGCTGCAAAGGATATAGATTCAATTACTAAGCACCAAATTTCTGCAGACTGCCAGCAGAAAACTGCAAGAGGCTGATACAAGACCAGTCACTCTGTAAAAGGAGAGAGAGCAGCAGTGACTTGTCTTAACTACAGGAAGTTCCAGCACGGAGGCAAAGGTTCACACTTGATTACTGCACAGATCTGGAAGAAAAACTTATCCAAGAGGTCAGCTTTAATTTCCAAGTCCACAAAAGTTATTGAAAACTTTTTCTTAGACCCTTTTCACAGGGCACCTGTCATTGTTGTGACATCCGTGTCTGTCTAGTATTTTTCCATGCATGGATGGAGAAATCTTTTGATGCAGGCTGAACGAGAGAACTAAGAATAAGTATGTCTAGCCTAACCCTTCCCCACACCATCTGAAAGTTCCCAGTCTTTGTAATTTCACACAATAGGGATCCAAAGATGTCTGCCTCCCCATTGTGCCAATCCACTTGTAGCAGCCTCAAATATTGATTGATGGTCATCTGATGTTTTTATATTTTTCTTTCCTGACCCTTAAAGTCATAATCTGTAGTTATGCTCACATGTATGGCCAGTTTTGAAAAACTTGCTGAACTCACAGATATTGGACAAAAGGCTTCTAATGTTGTGTGATAATTTAAAATATGACATAGGTTTGCATTTGTAATATTTGTATTGCTGAGAAATAAAATCAATGTATTTAACAGCTGAACACAATGGGGTTGATTTGCTAAAAGCAAAACAGCTGTTAACATTGCAAAATAATTTTCCCTTAGCTTAGTGAATGAGGTGAAGCTCTGCTGACTTCCAATTATGTGAAAGAAAAAAATCTTTTTTTTTTTACATTTTCCTTGCTCGTGACTGGTCGTTCTTTGCAAATAGTAATTTCCCCACATTCACTAAGCTAAGGGAAAATACCCTTGCAAAGTGCAAATTTCCTTGCAAAGTGAAGCGCATATTTGCCTTTAGCAAATCAATCCCAATATGTGTTTTTTTCCTTGAATTTCACATTGATTTGTTTATTTTCTTTCAGAGCACATGCAAGACCAGCCGAGTTTGCCTGACACCAACCTTGATATCTGCATGATGTTCTTCAATTAAAGACAAAAATGCAATAAAGAATGTATATTTGTATTATGTGTTACAAAGAAGAAAAACTGAAGTTACAGTCAAGATCAGAGGCAAACATTGCTGCTAAAATATTCTGTCTGGAAGTTACTGAATGTCCACCGTATGGTATTCACCGTAAATACAGCAAATCTTTATAATGAAAAGATTACCCGTATGTAAAAAATCATTGGATTTATCTGAAGATTTTGGGGGGATTTTTTTTAAAATCACAAATTATAGCAAACAAAATATTTTCTGTTTGCTCTTGGTAAATGTTATTTGCAGTTTTTTTTAAGCAAATTTGTATCACATTGGACTTTTTTTATTATTTTTTTTATTTTGTGGAATTTTCTTTTTGGTGTACAAAATGACACTGGAGAAAGTGATACAGGGAAAAACATCAATCAGACTTCAGATCGGCCTTTGCCGTGAACTTTATCACCTTCACCCAAGTGAGGCCAGCTACATCAATGTGAAAAAAATAGCTGTGGATCTTGTAGAAAAGAAGGTAGGTCGTTTTACATTTTCTAAGTGTGAACAGTATGTTGTATCACAATACAGAGGAAGACATTTATACAAGCAGGCCTTAAAAATGCTTGTAAATCATAATTTCAACTCCCCCATACACACACACACACACACACACACACACACACACACACACACACACACCACAATTACACCTAAACCTTTAAACTGGCCAAACACTATATGTATATAATATAGTATATATTTTGTTTCAATTAAACTTGCAGGCTGAACGAAAACAATGTAACAAATTCCTTCTCCATGCTAGACAGCATGGATGGATGATCCTCCCACTGGGCTGTTGTATTCTGACTGCAGTGGGTGTGTGTATAGTGCATGGGCAGCTTTACACATACTGAAATGCTACATCCTTAAAGGAGAATTTTGGGGAGAGTGAAATACACTTTTCCCCATAATTAGAGCAGATGTGTGACACTGAAGCTGTCACACATCAGCTCTATTGATCCACATACTGCTGATCGCTCAGTTCCCAATTATCTCCCTGAAGGCATTCCCCTCCCCTCACTGTTCCTCCAGCGCTGACAGGAGGGACGGAGGGAGGAGGGGCGGACACAGCTGGCTCTGTCTCTAGAGAGGCAGAGCCAGCTGTCAATCAGGTGACGGGGTGGATCCCCACAATATAGGCAATAGCCCGCTATATGCTGAGTTATATAGTAAATGTCCTCCTGTGACCCTAAAGAGAACTTTGGCACATAGTTCGCTTTTAAACATGCACAAACATATTGCAAATATATATTCAACCCTTAAAAATGTCTCACTGTTAGCCAGGAAAATTATAGGAGAACTATGGGGTTAAGGCTTTTCCCCATAGTTCTCCTTAGGCTACAGCTCGCAGTATACTGAGACGCAACAGTATACCGCGAGCTACTGCTCGCGGTATACTGAGACGCAGCAGCTGAAGCGGATCCCGACAATTATGTCTAGATCCGCCCAGCTGCGGGAGTGACATCTGGCTCTGCCTATCTAGAGGCAGAGCCAGCTGTACCCGCCCCCTCCCCCGTCCGATCCGCCAGTCAGCGCTGGCGGATCGGAGTGGGGAGGGGGGAATCCAGCCCCTCCCCTGTCACGGCAGAGAGCTGTGACAGGATCGAGAGGTGAGCGAACGCCGGTATGTGTTCGCTCACTTCTTGATCTACTGAGCCGACCTGTGACAGTCTCATTGTCACAGGTCGGCTAGAACTATGAGGTGAGTGAAAAGCACTCACCTCATAGTTCTCCTTTTAAGACCTTTTTTAAATTTGAGATGTATAAGCAATATTTAAAATGCATTGCTTTCCATAGGATCCTTTGACTCCACCTGGCTGCATAGCATTGTGTTGGGGAAAAGTTCTATATGTTGATGCATGGTGCATTGTCTTGTGTTTTTCATTCATCTTAATTTAATGGGGACCTTCAAAAACATAATTCAGTACACCTGAAAATGCATGGCTATGTGTCTATGCATTACTTTTGCTTTTCGAGGGAAGGTTGTGTTATAATGAGACACAGTTCCTTCCTGTCTTTCAAGCATGTCATAATAGTGATCACTAGTACATGAACCAGTACAACGCTTGTTGAAACTTGATCTGTAAACGCATCCCAGATCTGACATCAGGAATTAACTCATACAATTACTTTTTAGCGAACAAGTTCATAATGCTGTCCGTAAAGTAATATTCAAATCAATAATTTTTTCAAGCTGTTTCAGAGGCAGATTAAATTACTTACATTGGATGCTGCTTGATGTGTAAGGTTTTAGCTTCCTGCAAAATCAGCTGGTCCCTTAAGCACTGGACCTGATGCCTTGTTTTAGGTTGGCTCCTTTCCCTTGTGTGTGCTAGTAAGCTGTGTGTGTGTCTCCACAAATAACACACAGACACAGCAAGGCAAGTCAATCCTCTGCTCTCTTCTCCCCACTCCTTCTTCTTCCGTTCCCCAAGCTATTAGATGGATAGTTGCTAGAGACAGCCCTGTCTTTTGTGATCTTGAACTGGACAGGAAGTTCAGAGAAGCTGTGCTCAGAGAGTTGGAGACAGCTGTTTGGAAACATGGTAAATGTAAGTGCTTGGGCAAAGATTTAAATAAATACTTTGGGTGCTGTAGAATTGTTTGATCTGGATTTATTATTAAAAAATGTTTGAGAGTTTAATACTTTAAAGTGGATCCTGCACTAAAAAGGCAAGGTCAGCTTATTTATGTTGCCCTCACTCCATGGCAAAAAGCTGTGATAAATGGGAAAAAAACTTGTATGGAAAAGGTCATTAAATATACAGGTACCTTTTAGTCGTTTCTTTTCAAGGATGCACAGAAATTTCAGCCGTCTACACATTTCGGAAGAAATTCGCACTTTTGGCCATTTGCCCGAAAGTGCCATGACGGCCAAAATGCAGCCGAAAATTCAGTGTATCCCAGCTTCTCTACTCCCTGCTGGGTACCGGTCTGTGTGCTTTCAGATGCAGCTCCAGTGCCCAGTGGGGAGGAGAGAAGGTTTCAGAATGGACAGCGGTGCTGCACAGTGACAGCTGTCATTCTTGCAGGAGGCCAAGCTCTCCTCCCTCACCTCCCGGTTCGGCCTCCTGTGTCAGGATGGAAAGCGGTCCGGGGCAGTGATTGCTGTGATTTGTCACAGGAGATGGAGTTCTCCACCCACACCTCCCGCCTCCATCTCCTGTATCAGGGTGCCCAAGCAGTGTGGGGCGGTGATGGCTGTGATTTTTCACAGGAGGTGGAGCTCTCCTCCCACACCTCTTGTCTCCACCTGTTTGTCAGGATGGAGAGCGGTGATTGGTGGAGAGTGCTTTGATCTGTCACAGGAGGCGGAGCTCTCCTCCCCCCACTGCCCGCCCCTCTCTTGTGACAGCCGATTCAGGATGGAGAGCGGGTATACAAACACTCACCGATCAGCTGTTAGACCCCTGATATTTCCCTAGAGCCCCCGACAGTAAAGTAAAAAAAAAAGAATTGATAAATTCTATGGGACTGAAGCAAAACAAATACGGGGAAAACAGCCAGAAAAAGAGAGAGAAAAGCGATGACAGGGTGGACAAGAATTAGACCCACCTACCTTTTTGTTGTGTCATGCTTAAGAATACACAACATTTAAATCCAGGTGTGTAGGACTCACCTGAGTATTTTTGGGTGTTCGCTAGAGGGCTAGGGATAAGTGTTGGGATTAGGTTAATTGGTTAATTTAAATTAAGGAAGCGTGTAAAAGTAGTGCCATTGATAAGTGGTATCATTGCTCTGTTTTAGAGCTACATCTATCTCTGGAATCCTTGAGATCCAACACTTTGGGGTGTGTTGGATGCCTGGGTCTCCCTGCTATGGGTCTCCACCCATCGGCTGCTACGTCACTAGTTTGTCCCTGTAGTTAAATATCTAAATTCTAGGGATGCACTGATACCGATAGTAGTATCAATACCGATACAGAGTATTTGGGTGAGTACGAGTACTCGCCCAAATGCTCAGATAACTTTCTCGATACCGGAACTTCCGGTGAGAGGAAGATTTCCTCTGACCGGCAGTGCCCTAAGGGAACATGGAGCCAGCTTCCTGTGCGATCAGGAAGCCAGATGGCGAGTAATGACACGCTTCCCGGCTTCCTGATTGGCCAGGAAGCCGGCTCCTTGCTGATTGGCTGGGAAACCAGCTTCCCAGCCAATTAGCATCAAGCCAGCTTCCCGGCCAATCAGGAAGCTGGTCATTACTCGCCGCCCGACTTCCTGGTGGGCTGGGAAGCCGCCTCGATGCTGATTGGCTGGGTTCCTGGCCAAGCACAATCAAGCCGGCCAGACAACACGGAGCCAGCTTCTTGGGCAATCAGTTTGCCCAGGAAGCTGGCGCCATGCCAGCAGAAGCACCGGTATCTGTACTCCGTATCGTCGAGTACCGAAAGCAAAGTATCGGAATTTGATACCGAAAAAACGTTATCGGTGCATCCCTACTAAATTCCTCTACACGTCTTACATGTAATCTCAGGAGTTTCCACATTCCCTGTTGGATTTCTATTATATTCTATTTCATGAAAATTACAGCTATAAAACTTAATTTTGAAACTAGCTAGTTGGAAATTATGGCTTAGAGATGGAAATACTCATGATAATAAGTAGGCGGTGAGTGATTCAGGCTACTTCTGTTCACCCATAATACAAATAAACGTCTTTAACCCATTCACTATCAGGGCCAATGTACAGTAGATGGAACATTGCTGACCCTCATGAATATTTTGCTTAGAAATATGGCTTCAGCAACCACAGGGGGCATGGAAAAACACTCCTTCTTAGACCTGAGCTTTTCTAGATCTTTGATCAGAATCTAATTGCTGGGGACTCTCTACATACTGCATAGACATCAGACAAACTTTTTCACCCCTCGCAGGAGTGATAAATCTTGTGTTAAATATCTGAATATTTCATAGCAGATAATATACCTCATGTGGTGAGGATTTGAATGCACGTAAGCACTTTTATGCTATCAGAAGAGGACTGTAGTAGTAAAGTGTTTGTAAATATGTCAGTGCAAGCCATATACAGATATATACTTATTTACTTTAAACCTGACCAAGACCAAATGTTATTTTCTGTTTGGCCATGCCAGTTTCTTATCAGTGAATGGCTTCATAGTTGTCACGTACCTGATGGAGCTTGAGATGACGAGGGCGGCCCCTCTCTTGCAACTCTGGTCCCAGAAAGCCTGGTAGAGAAGACAGGTAGTCTGGGGCACAGCGGGGCACGAGTGCCTGGATGAGGACTTCGGTACCAGAGGGTAACTCGTACGGTCTCTTGCCGTGAGGGATAATATAAACGCACAGCAGGGAGGCAGACAGAGAGTAAACGGAGTCAGGCAGACCGGATCAGCAACGTGCGGGCAGAGAGGTTGTATGGCATAAGGCAATCTCGTGGTCGGGTCACAGGCCGGGTTTGGTAACAAGCGGGCAATGCAGGAACAGGCAGGGAGCAGGAGAATCGTCTAGACAAGCCA